TTAACTCCTTCATGTCATCCCCCGACATCCAACCTGTCACTTCCCGTTCGATGACCCGGAGTGTGATTTTATTCATAGGTCTCCGCAGCATATCGCTAATTCGTTTCCACTTCGACAAACTTGTTGTTTAGTAGGTTCTTGGCTGTTTCGTTGCAGGAGTCCCCTATCGCTTATCCTCTCTGGCCATTTAATCTTCAATATAGTGTGAGAAATTGAACCCCTTTGTAAATTCTTTCTCGGCAATTCTATGGACGGTATGGAAGAACTGATTTGACATCGATGTTGAAAACTTGGATCGTGTTCCTTATTTTGAGCGCAACACCGATTCCAGAGTAATGAAGGTCTGTGTTGCTTTTCCGCTCCTTGCTAACTTCGGCATCGTCATCTGTAGTACTTGTAGTTAAAACGACGCCGCTGCCCAGGTAATTGAAGCGCACGACCTCCTTTAGACTTCCATTGGTGGTGATTAGTATTTACAGCTGCTGATCGGTTATCTTCATCATCTCTGTGTGTTCACTGTGTTCCCTGCCTCTTCTGCTTACTTGTCTGTTTATACCCGCGTTAACCTTCGAGTTTGTGCGACACAAAACGTAAATCTTCCCCAAAGTCATGATCTTCTACAGTCTATTTTGTCAGCCTAATGTGTACCCGTCTTTTTACTACCCACGGTTTACAGAGAAGTGGAGAACAAGAAGTATACAGATCAAGTTTCGTAGTTCTGTAGCTCCAATTGATATGACTGTAAAGATTAGATTGTTACGATATGTTATCAAGTAAATGATGATTATGTGATACACCCGAATAAACAAATTAATATGCAAATACATAGTATCACAGTGTCAAAGATTTACAAATATACGTTAGTGTCAAGTTTTCACTGTGTTTTTCATTTAGAAAACAAAATATTGAAACAAAAATGTTAACTGGTAGGAAATCAGGTTCAGTGAGTACTACACAGCAAAAAACCTTATTAACGGATAATAGTTGCTTGTCATTATGTCAATATTACATCAACTTGTTTCCCCAAAACTAGCAGAACAACTCTAACGGACGCTTATATCACCTCAGTATGTGTACTGAAAAGCACTGACTGAAATGATCGACTTCAATTTGAAATTATTACTAAAAGTTGCTGAAATAGCATTTACAAAATTGACCAAAATACCTTGCATAACAGTTTATTGTTATGAATCACCCATAATTCCATGCAGTTAACAAAGAGTCAAAACCATTGTGTGGGGACTAGCGATAATACCTGGTCACCCATGCCTGGGTGGTAGATAGAGCGGAGTTCGAATCCAACACCCATTGATTAGAACTTGGGCAACTAGACTAATTAGTGACACAATTTAATTTAATGCCACAATGGCTATTGTGTGAATCACTGGGAAATGTATTTCAGAACATTTGATGCGTCACATAAGATAGGATTAAGTCATACAGAATGATATGGTGAGACTTCAAAAAAGGATGCAATCCATAGGAATAATCATTTCCCAGTGATAGCATAATAATTCTTACTGATCTGATATTTTGTGAAAAGAAACAAATTAAATAACACCTACTACAGTATTAGGATATATACGCGACTGAAGTAATAGGACAGTTGGGATTCAGTTGGTTGACATATTACGACACATAGTATTATAAACATCACTGAGTGATATAACAATGTAGACATTTGCGCAAAAGTAAATCAGCTTAAGTTGCCACAACGTATTATGAAACTGCAATGAACGAAGAGATATAGGCGGAAAGAATACTGAGATGAAGATTTTTATAATATAGAAAGTGACGAGGAGTGAATACGCATGTGACATTATAAACCATCTTCATTTATTTCTCCATGAGCCGTCAGCTGTTAGACCTTAACGTTTCAAGCATTCTAAACCAAAAACTCTACGTCTTAAGTCAAATCAGACTAACGGTGAATGACTTCATAGATTGCTGCCATCTTTTTATCTTCTTTGAATTAGTCTTGCTTGCGGAAACATTACTTCCTGAAGAAGGCAGTGGTTCAGTATGCCTACCACGTGTTATAACCATCAATATCAAGGGAGTTTTATGACCCCACCCTCAAACATATTTCGAATCAAACTGTCAGAGTTCGTTATCTTTCTTTGTTTTAAATCAGAGATAGAGTTTGCAGTGGCAGCTACTGATATCTATATCCCAGTCATACTTATATCTGATGATGGATAACTGTAAGCTAGTTGAACTGCTCCTTAAAATGCTCGGAAAGTTATCAAAATTCCTCTTTTTGCAGAGATCACTCGTTTTACCACTATTTTTTAAAATCGAAACAGTTAGTGAGTATAAGTTATTGCTGACGCCCGGTTTATTTCTTTCACTTTCGTTGAGTTCACTGAAATGCCTTCTAGTCCCGTTACATCTGAACAGCTTTCACTCGTCAGGATAAATCGCTTTGTTTTATTTAGTTTGGATGGGGCTACAAAAATCTGTTGGCTTTAACTAACATTTGTCTGCAGGTTATCGACTTTTTTCGCTGCTATTTCTACAGTAGATTGTGTATGATGGCATATTTCATTAGGATGAGTATTTGCCATAAGTAAAACTACATGTTAAGTTAACCTTCGTGAATACTAATAAGTAACCTTCTCAGATGCTTATTTCCTAAGCGTGTTGTGTTTAAGACATACCAATTCATGTGCACAGACTAATGGATGACCAGAATGCACAGTAGCATTTTAGAAATGTTCACCGACTATCTGCACCGTAAATGTATAGCTGAAATCTCTTTGTGTTCATTGTTGACAAGATGCCAGCCATCGTCAGATGAGATATCAGTGCTGCTAAGAATAGGTGATAAAATAAACAAAATAGGATGAAACGTTTACTATTATCGACTGTGAATGTAACCGAGTAGAGATAACTGGTTGTAACCACTCCATCAGACCGTACGCATAGTTGTTTCAGGTAATACTAGATGTTAGATAATCGGTAATACTGCATTGGCACTACGATAAGCGATTACCTCCATAAATTGTTTCTGTAGACTTGTATTATATAATCCTAACACCTATGTTAGGTCTGCACTGACGATTATACTTCCTTTCTATAAGGATCGTTTTATCAACGTGAACAATTACACTGACACCACTGAATGCTTGAGTCACATTAAGTTTCCAAGACGTAATGTCTCGACAGTGCTGAGACCACTGCACTGTAGATATCTCAATATTACTTGACTCTGTAGCAGTTAGTGCTACTGCGATCGTCTAAACCCCATCGTAACACAATGGTAATTTTGGTTGGAGTCAATATCGACTTTGTGAAAAGATTATCTACAACACCGATGAACTTAAAAAGGATTTCCTACAATGACAATTAGAAATTTGTATAAACATCTATCAGCGACAGCTGCATATCTCTGTGAAGTCACTACTCCTCCACATCAACATGGTTTAAGATATGGAAAATTATGTGATGTAATTAAAAAAAACATAATTCAGTGAAGAGATCTTTTTTCGAAACTTCAAAATTTAATTTAATTTCACCGTGTGTTTTATTCATTCCTATGACTAATATCCATACACTACTGAAACATAATTCGTGTACCGTACACATATTTGAGCATTTTTAACATGAGTTTATGTGGTTAGTTATTCAGGGTCAGTTTGAAGGTTGTTTGCTTACGTTGTTATAGTTTACTCTTACCATCAATTCGTCAGTGTGGAACTCTGTTAATGCCTTCGACAGGCTTTTCCGTTTAGTTCAGTTTCCCTTACTTGAATGTTAAAATCCCCTAATTATATTGTAACGGTAGAGGACAAGAGGCTTAGTGAAGGGATGTTTATTTGGAATTTGATATATCTCTATAGAGCGAAATTATGTACACCTTATCTGAAAAGCAACAGTTGCACAGATCCTCCATGTTATGTCACTTCTGCCCTTCGTATTGTTTCTTTGTCTGTATTTTATGTCTCCCATGTTTTGCCACAACGCTAGTTCGTTTGCTCTTCTTGACGTCAAATCTATATCTAAGCTACTTGATATTTTTATGCTGATGAACGTCTATTTATATAATACTGATAAATCTTATCAGTAGCACACACCACAATATGACTGACTACATCAAAGCATTTCGCTTCAATAAAAAATAAACCACTGAATAAATAGATACGCAAATAACTGTATTCTATCCACTATAAAAATAGGAAGAACACAGTATTTTGGCTGCTTTATTTTTGTCAGATAAATAATTTCACAGTTTTATCAAAACCTGACAAAATACGGTATATTTCAGCACTGACTAACAAGAACGAAAACGATAAATTAAGGTAAAAGAATATATATGTATATGTATATATATGGCAATAGTAGCGGTAGTAATAATTTTGATCACGAACTGACTTCAGCTAGAGAAACCACTGGAAATCAGGTAGTTACTGGACAGCTGTTCCGCGCGTTTGGAACTCTTTATCAGCATGCATCCATGATCTCACCAGGGATAGAATGCGCAACCTTCGGGTTATAAGGCGGACTTGTACACAATCCCAGCCACTAGCACGGAATCCAGTGACTCATTAACTCTATTTTCCACCTATTCGCAGTATATAACGTGACCACTAGCCAAATAATGGAACCAACACTTGAAAATTATTCTAGTGCTGACTAAAAGTGAAGTTACTTGAGGTTTTAAGGGGAATTCGTGGTCAGCGAGGTGCTCTAAGTTAGGCATGTGGGCAGATACTCACCAATATTAGTGGCTAGCGGCTGCACTATATATCGCAAATCACAGAAGTTGGAATTGATGGAATACTGGATTCCGCCTCGATGACTGGGATTGTATATGAGTTCGCCTTGTGACTTGGAGATCCTGGGATTTGATCCCTGGCACGGTCATAGGTGAGTACTACTGAGGTGTCTCAAACCAGGACGAAATATATGTCTAGTACTCCATAGTTCTCAATTTTTTTTCTTTTCCAACTGATCTGTCTTGAAATCAATCAAATCCTCGCAAATCAACACTTGAAAAGTAATAATAATACTAATTTTATAATGATATCAATAATTATAATAAATGAAAACAAAGTTATCTGTTTTGCTTCTTAACAAACTGAACTTATCAATCAAGTACAAATACTTGACCATGATGGTGACAAGGTTTATAAGATTTCTGAAATATTATTATTATTATTATTTAGCATGTATGTACAATTAGGAATTGTTTTTAATGTTGAGAATAATAAATCCACATAAACTACATAACAGCATCATTTTTATATGCAGTGTAAGAGAAGCAAACTAGAAGTAACCAAAACGAAAAGAAAGAGAAAAAAAGAAGAAACAGAATTCGACGACAGAGAAAAATGAGGGGTGGAAACGAAATAGCGAATATATATGTATGCGTGTTAAAACAAAACTGTGAACCGGAGACTCTACCAATTGAACAGCATGTCTGACAGTTATAAGGCTGATATTCAAATATATTAGAGAGCAAATATGTGTGTCCAATCTTGTAGTTAATTCATTCATAATCTCCTAGGCGTGTTTGATAAGTAGGTAACAAATATATGCATGCCTTATACTGGTCAAGTTGAACAACATACTTCATGGAAGGTTGACAAAGGCAGAGGAAAACAATGAAATGAACAACACCACAAAAGATACGTTTTGTGGAACACTTGTAGAAACAGAAGAAGAAGAGTAGTCATTATTAATAAGAACAATAACAAGAATTCTTCATACAGGAAGGCAAAAATAGTATATATTTATATATCATCTACTGAAAATAGTAAGTACACGAGACAAACGTAAGAAAAACAAAGATAATATAATACATAATAACTTCATATATCATTATTAACCATAAAAGTTTCATTATATATATGTAGATAGAAAGAAATATATATATTTGCAGTACGATAAGGATTTCACAAGTTATATCAAGGTGTGGTACGAAGGGGAGGTCGCGCGGATGAAGGAAGGAATAAGGAGACTGATTACACAGTTATGTCTGTTATGTAATATGTAATATTCATTACAACGGTTATTTGTTTTTAAAAAATAAACAAATTAAAATTAATAATTTCACAGTAGCCTGAGACAAGTGCATGTATATACGTATGTATATATTTATATAAATTCTTAGCTGTTAAGTTATCCTAAATGATTGATTGAAGATATTGACGCGCAGCCGTCTCTTCTATATACCTAAAGGGAGAAATTAAAAAATAGATTATTTGAACTTGGCCCAGATAGGAAAGTATATAGAAGGATTTGAAAGTAGATTTTAGGCATGAACCGATGAACAGCACTTAGTGGACATCTAGAAGCAATTTAATTTATGAACATCAAATACAAACTTAAGCAAATGCAAACCTTTGCACAATCCTAACCGGTAATCGGTACTATCTTTGGCATGGTGATCGGGCTTATATATCACAATGATGCGACCAACGAATATTCCTGCCATTTTCTAGAATGCTAGAAAGATGGTTTGAATGGTAGTTAGAGTGAAAGCAGTTACCATCATAGCGTAAGGTGTTTCTCTTGGACGAACAGACAGCCAGCTATGCTGCGTCTCCATTGTGGAGTGGAGAATTAAAGCAAAAGATTGACCCCAAGAATTAAGCATACCCCGACTTACCTAGCAGCTGTCCGTAGCCGGTGGCAAAACACATTTAAGGACAAAACCCCCAAAACCAACTCAAATAGGTCGCATGTGAAGAGTTTCAAGCAGTTGTCCCTTCTGCCCTGTGGTTACACAATACTAGTGCTTCTTCTGTTTAAGGTATTTTTCAAGAAGAAATCAATTTCTACAGTGTGGATGACCACGAAGGAACAACTGCCCACATACGTTTCACACTTCTTTAAGCACATTTTTCACAAAGTTGGTGTAACAACAGTTCAAGTTGCCACACAGAAATTTAGAGAAATAAAAATATATATAAAGAGATTAACTGTGATTTATGGAAAAGTATGGGAGAAAGAATAGGTACATTTAGAGCAACCATATAAACGCCATGATTCATTAAAATCACAGAGAAATAAAAGACACTTTCCAACAGATACAGACTTCAGAGATTATAAACTAAGCAATAACAGCTCTTATAACTCCATTGATAAACATGTTATCTCCATTAACCACTAAAAATATATCGTAAGATTGATAAATCTATGAAGAACTCTGTGATACTTCGAAAAAGTGCAATATACAGAAAACAGAAATCTAATAATGACATTATACAGGGGATAAAAGTGCATGAGAGGACGAATAATCCCACGAGGAAAACCGTCTATACAACAAGAAAATGCCGAATTATTTCGGGGCTTTTTATTCAAAAGGGAAAACTGAAACAATATGATTAATCAATAAAGGAAAACTTCACACAAAACGTAGAAACGCAGTGGTTTAAATGAATACTTTGCGCGGTTTCATTAGAAGGAAAAAAGAAATAATCGATAAAGAAGTACAGCTAAGCATAAGAGAAGCTCTAAATATCACTTTAAATATGAAAATAGAAAAGGATATATGTATAAGGAATAGTAAAATATCAGAGTTACTGAGTAATTAACAAACCTATTTACCAGCTTTTCAAAATTTGTTTTCAATATATTCCAAATGACTACTTATAATACAAAATAGTAGTAATTTTGTGCTGTTGGCTATTGGCAAACAAATATTCGCCATGAGAAAAATCCATACCAATTACAAAATGAAGAATACATGCATCGCAACATGAGTTGGAGATGTACGGTGCATTAGATTAGGAAATTGACTTTAAGCTATTGAGCTATAGGTTTCCTAGTAAACTAACTAGGCAAGGTTAAGAAGTGGAGTCAGGCGGAAATCAAACATGGACCACTGGAGAGTGTTCTACCACTCAGCTACAGACGTACACACAGACGAAATTCAAAAAGAACTGCAGTCTAATCTGCTTTTTTATGCACCTTATTCTGCTTGGAAAAAACTACTGAAAAAGCAAAATTACACACATTTATATCACTGACTTACCTCATTTATATCTGTATTTAACAATTAAGGCACCTAGGGGGTATAAGTGCACAAAGTATAACTTGACATTGATTTAGATAGACTGGTAGATAGATACAAAATATAAGTTAAAGTATTTCAGCATACTCTCCATTTGTTATAGCATATTCTGTTGTCTTCGCAATTGTAGAACTTGTTGCAAAAACTAAAAAAACAAACAAAAGAGAAGTTAATTAGATAAGTATTTAAGTTATTTAATATGCTCATCTTAACTGGAGAAAAAACTAAACATGTTATATGGTTCATAAAAAAATATACTATGAAAACGAATAGCAGTCTAATTATGAAAAATATCCTCGAATAATGCACAATACAACTAGCTAGATAGTTATGCATCATCCATCATATAAAAATAAGTAATCTTTTGATGTGACAAGTGATTCGAACCGGCGTTACTCAATACTACAGTCAGAGGTGTTACCATTCGAGCTATTCAGAACTAGTTAAATAGCCAGTTCTAAGCCTGGAAAAGAGGGAAAATAGGGTATGAAGATAACCTCCACCAAAAGTCTCCGGGAAGCCAGCTGGCTGATATGTCTTCTTCCGACTAATGCGAAAGTACGCATAAATACATAGTATGTCCTCATCATATTTGACGCTGGTAGGGTTGTAGAAGAAATGGAAACAGCAAGTGCCAAGTGAATTACAATGTGGAGTAGAAGAATTTGTCGAGTAACAGTTTTGAACAACGGCATGTAGAATAAAGTGACATTAATGACCACGCTAATTTGCCAAACAAGTTTAGCATCCTAGATCATTTTTTGTGACAACATTCATAATAATGCAAAAACATTCTGTTAAAGGTAGAATCGCTTATTTAATTAGTCGTCTTAACCAGACATACTACGATATGAAAGAAAATCATAAATAAAGCAACACATCAGTACTACCATTAATAAGTCTATTACTGAAGGGTAAATGATCATTCGTGTACATAGTTGACACAAGTACCAAATGTTTCTTGCACTTATACAAAAAGGAAAACTTTGAAACACAGTGAAATATATGATGGATTTGATTGAATTTGATATACTATTGGCTGATTGGTATGAGTAGTTGGATATCGCTCATATCAGCCAGTGGTTCTTAATGGCCAGATCGAAGTGGTCTAAACACCGAAAGGCTATTTCACTTGTTTGCGGTCCAGCTTGTCAACAGTTTACCCTCAAGTTAACTCAACTATTCAGAGAACCGAATCAGCTCAAACAACCGCAATTCTGGCTACTGACTGACGAGAGTGGTATCCAGTTACTCAAATCAATCAATCAATCAAAAGTATTTGATATCATGAATTTACTCTATCTTTCTTTCTTCATTACCGTTTGCGTGGTTTAAACAGTTTCGGTTTCCAAAGAAAACTGGGATGAAATTTCCAATCGAACTGTTTAAATTCCGAGAAATATTACATCGTGAGATTTCTTAGTGTTATTTATAATGAAAACTGAAAAACCTTGTGCACGAAAAAGAACAATTCACCTATGTGAGATGAGGAAAAATTCATTCTATTCCAATTGGTACTTGCCTGATTCCACAAATAATAATTTTGAGGCTAACAAATCTTTTAGTAGGACACGAAGAAATGATGTGTCAATTGACATAAACCACAAACCAATTTGCCTTATTTGTTCATTTAATTAGGACCAAGGATATATATATATATATATATATACATATATACATATATATATATATCCAAGCCCGAACACCGCGTTAAGGTAATAGCTGTTGATCAGTTAATCTAATACTGGTGTCTGCCAAGCGGGATGTGAGGACAGATACTGGTCGAAAACAATGACCGGCAGAAATAAGAATTCATGTGCCATTGTTCTGTTCTGTTATCGACATAGAACTTTGCATATATGTGCGGCAGTTCAAGTCGCCACACTCCCTCCATGTAGCACACAAAGAAAGAGAAGAAAGTAGGAGAAGTGCATAATATAGACAGTAAACAGAGGTGTAAGACAAAGGAATAGTAATAACGAAGAACAAAACAGTTTGACTGGAAATCATGAGTCACAAGGAGTGGATGCATCTGCGCCATTGAGAACGATTTTGAGCCATGTCACCAATTGTTTCCAACCATTGGTTTTTACCATCCCGAGGACCCCAACCAGGAAGTCTACACCTTCCTACGTCGCTTAGACTAACTGTTGTATATTTCATTGACTGGTGCCATGTTTTGGTTTGACCGCCGCTAGCTCTTTTCCAGCCTGACCCTATGTCAGCTAACATTGCCTGTTGTCGAGGAAGGCGATGACTAGACATACGTAACATATGTCCTAACCATCTCAGTCGATGTAACTTCACAGCCTCGTCGATTGATTTCCACTCCTAACCTAGCACTCGACGCCTAACCTCAATATTGCTCACCCTATTATACCACTTCATACGGGAGATAGAACGCAGGCACCTATGATCAAAGATAGCTAATCTTTTCATGTCCTCAACTCTCAATGACCAGGTCTCACAGCCATAAAGGAGGATGGAGAGGACTGCTGAGCAGTACACACGACCTTTGGTCGTTAGTCGGATATCACGTCTACGCCAGAGACGGCGTAAACTGGGATATGCGAAACTAGCCCTCTGCGTTTGAACTGAGATTTCGTCAGAGATCAACCAGTTGGAGCTGATGGTACTTCCCGAATAAGTGAAGCGGTCAACGTGCTCTACCACTTCACTTCCTATTTCTAATCTAGGGGTCGGTGTAGTCCAATCCTGCAACATCATCTTACATTTTACAGGGGCGAATCGCATGCCAAACATACGAAGATTGCTGCTCAAGGTGTTCAGAAGACTCTGCATCCTCAGACTCAGCGTCCTCGCCTAGAAGGACTATATCGTCTGCATATTCTAAGTCAACGAGATTATTCCCTGTTAGCAAGTCAATCCCTGAGTCTCTGAAGTGAGTTAGGGTTAAGTCCATTACTACATCTACGATGAAGTCGAATAGAAATGGGGATAATGGGCATCTTTGACGGACGCCACTAGTCGTCACCACTTCAGATGACAACTCGCCATAAGTCCTCACCTGGCTGCATGAGTACGAGTAGAATGCCTTAATCAGTGCAATGTATTTTCTCGGCATTCCCTTTACAGCCAAGCATCGCCAGAGAACCTCTCGGTCGACAGAATGGAATGCCGCCTTTAGGTCAAGAAATATAATGATTGTTGGACGCCGGTAGGAATGCCTATGTTCTAGAATCTGTCGAAGGGTGAAGATATGATCAATACACCCTCTTCCTGGCCTAAAACCTGCCTGGTTTTCTCGTGTTTGTGCCTCCCGAGCTCCACTTAGTCTACGCAGTATTATTGAGCCTAGGATTTCAGATACTATATTAGTCAAGCTAATCCCTCTGTGATTATCACAAGAAGACTTGTCTCCCTTCTTGTACATCGGGATGATTAGTGACTTACACCAACCCGATGGGACTTCCCCTCATTCCTAGACACTGCCTAGAGCCTCAGTTAATGCAGACAGTAAACTGTCTCCATTGAATTCCGTCTTAGTGGTTAGATGACTGAAAGTCTTCCGTTTCACTCCTGTTGGGCAATGGGTGTGCACTACCGAGGAGTCCTCAAATAGTACGAAACAGCTGTCCAGTAGTTTGTTGATTAATGTCAGCTGAGGATCTAAATCTTAATCTATCAAATGCTCAGAATAAACTCAACTCAATATTTTGAGGTTGCAGAAAAGATATGTGTACAGTTTCACTGAACAATGAAATCCTATTTGTTTTGTAGACGACAAAGGAAGGTTTAGATTTATTGATTTTTTTATATACAACAAGGGTGTCAGGATATGTTCTGGAAGAATATCAATAATAAACAGCAATTCACTCTACTACTGTTCTGAAACAATAATACATCATCTTAAACACTGGCTTTTGGTGAAAAGCTTGTAAGTGATGTCATTCCAGACAGGTAATCTCAAACAGGTGTGATGTTTAATGGTTGAATGCGGTTGTATTTTAAGGATAGTTAGCGTTGTCGTAGATGTAATGCTTGCCAAATAGTTTTGTCTGAATCAAGTAAGCTGTTTTTAATGATCGATCATAGTTGTTAGTATTCATCAATGCATAAGGGGAGTTGGGTAAGGGTGTTAGACTTACGTGATAAGGTAAATAATGTAATGAATGAGTTGTAATCAGGATGCACATAAAAACGAGGAAAAATGTAGTACTACGTAAGCGTCCAAAAAAATCAGAGAATCAGGAAGAGTTAATAAGCACCAGCAAAATGAAGAGTAACCCCCCTCCAACAGTACTCTTTTGTATTGCTGAAGCTGTAGCCATTCAGATGCAGAAACCAGAGCTCTGCATACAAAAGAGAACTATGCAACCACTTCTTCTATCACGGTGACAACCCTGTCGTCTTCTACCAGCTTAGTTGCTTATAAACTCTTTCTAACGCTTATATCTTTGTGAACTACTGTATAGTATCAGATTTTCCTCAGTTTTCCGACTACATCTTATTCACTAAGTCATTTATCTCATTACGTAACCCTGACACCCTAAAGTGTCTTCTATATTAAAAATGAAATTTGAAAAAATCTTATTTATTGAATAATATTACGGAATATACACATTGGATCATAGGAATTACTAAAACGACGGTTGCAGAGATGAAAATTTTCTTTTCGACGAAGTCATCGTTTATTTATATTACATGTGTGAGAAAGTTCCAGAATTATTTCTGGTCAGAGGTCAGATTAATAAGATTACTAAGTGTAATAAACAAAGTCAAAAATAACTCTCCACCAGGAATAGTCTTAAACAACAGATAGGAACTGTAAGTAATAAACACGCAGTTAATAATAATAATTATTATTATAAAAATCGTGTGACACAGTATACACACAGAAACCTACATAGATAATCATAGCAGAGCCTCCTTGAACAATTGGTTCCGGCAATGCACGTAGTGGACAACTTTCCAAATTTAAAATAATCAATTTACTGCATAATGACAGTTCAGCTGGTAGACTGTTTAAATTCGGATTATTATTCAAATGTAAGTCGTGTAGTGCTGTAATATTGCCTAAAACAGAAAAAAACACCCAGAAAAGTGAACAATAAATTAACAACTTATTTAATAAATTACAAAGAAAATGGAATTTTGAAATGGTTTTTAATGTCAACTCCAAAAGTGGATTAAAAACCTGCTGTACCAGAAATGTTTAATCGGTTAACTAACAAATAAGATTTATACAGGTATGTAAACTTCCCCAGGTTCAAGTTAAAATTGTCACACACGTTTTTTAAGCACTGAGAGAAAAAACTTCTGAATAAACAAATATACCTAACGAGTGGGCTCCAAATCATCAGTTCGGGGCTGTATCAGCTGACGTACAAGTGTGGTGAGTGCTACTGATAAGAGTTGTCCCTAGTATATAAAGAGATGTTCATCAGCATGAAAACATCGAATAGCAGGGAGATACACTTGATTTCAGAGAAAGCAAATGATGATACAGAGTTGTGGAGAAAATGGGAGACGTGAAAGGAACACAGAGAAACACAATATGAAGGCCAGAAGTGCCACAACACGAAAATCTGTGCAGATTGTGCGTTAAACGTAAGGTGTGCATGATTTGGCTATACAGAGATAGCAATTTCCAAATAAACATTCCTCTACCAATTCTTTCGTCTTCTACCGTTACACAAGAAGGACCAACTGTTAACAAAATTGTCATCATCTTACTACAATCACCACCACGCGTAGTGTCAAGCCGCCGGCTTATCATCACACTAGCGGCTCAACCTAGGTCTCCTATCAACCATAATCATACTCAGTTAAGGGAAGAGGAGCTGCTGGAGAGACTGTGAGATTGTCTTAATGGTTACAGTGAAATGATGACCTGGTTATCAGCTGGGTTTTTTAGGTCAAGCTGGTAGTGGGCAGTCCGAATGGTGATTCGCAGATAACTGGTTTGAGTCCTCTCGCGATTTAAATTTTCATTTTACCACTAATTATCACCCACTCCATAACAATGAAAGTTTGCCCACCCAAGACCATTATCTCAGATAGTCTCATAGTCTTTGATTGGACACCAGTCAGGTACTAGCTTAGTGTGTAAAGTCCTTTGTTTGGTGCAGACTGAATTCTATCAGTCAAGTTTGCAATGTGGCCAGCATTCTAGGTGCCTCGCCATCACGATGGTTGAAGGCAATCAGCAGGAAGTCTTGGATCTAGGTTTCATGCTAATTGGCACTCGTTAGCAAGGCATATCTGCAGCCTTGGAGGAACTCATGTTCCTTCTGAAATTAGAACTCGCGTCATTCGATCAAAATATCCAGTACAGTCTTACATGAGGTCAATTGCAAGTCCGAACAATTCACTGATCACGTCTCGGACATAAGGTGGCACTGGGTGACGCGAGTTCAAATGTCAGAAAGGACATGAGTTTCTCCAAGGTTGGAGATACGCCCTGATGACGAGTGCCAACAAGCACGAAACCTAGATCCAAGACTCCCTGCTGACTGCTACCAACCATCTAATATCAGTTTCATAATAAAATATTCTTAAGTGTGAAATGAAATGTGTGATATTTAGAATAAAAAAAATGAAAGAGAACAATGATAACATAAGAACTAGGGCATTTTATGATTAAATTAATAATATAATTTCCTGTAGTTAGTGAAATGATTGCTCTGATACAAAATTTACGGTGATAAAACACAACTAAATAGTAACACTGATCAGTTGGATAGTTACTGAAACTATTACATTGAATTTCGCGTACAGTGATTATTTTGGAACGAAATGACTGGCCTCTGTCGCCACGTTGGCCTCGGTAACATACACTTAAGGTTGACATCATGTTATTTGTTTTGATAGTGGCTAACATTGGAATCCAGAAGGCATGATGGTTGCTAGGTTCGAGTTTTAGCAAGAAAACACCATCACTCACTGGAATACTGGTGAATCCGGAAGATGAGATCCGAAAATAGAGTGACATCTGTTAACCACCACCAAACAAATAACTTCAATTGATTCAGTCAAAAAACATGTTCCTGTTGAGACTCGAGCCCACCACTCATCATTTCAAACGCAAAAGGGTGTATCCACTACCACTTGTACGAAGAACGGGTACTTCATCACTCACTGGGCTACAAGTACACTCAGTCGGTGAATCCCAAATAGGACGTAACGGGAAAACTGTATTCCATCGTTAGTCACTATCAAAGAAAATAGTTAGATAATATTTACACTTGCATTAGTCTGACCGACTAGTTTCCTCATTTTTTACATGCATGGGAAGGGTTCACAAGGAATAAAATAAATGACCACTAACGCCTAGTTGAAAAGTATATGCTGTGCTTTGAGGTTTCAGTAGAGACAGAGTTATTTTTTTATTGATTGGGGAGACTAGCCCCAATTGCAACTTTGTTTTATTTTCTGGGCTTCGAATCGGTTAGTAAAACAGACGAGATTTAAAAACTGTGTATGTACAATCGAATCTGAAATATCCACAACGAAGACGTTATTGTTTTTAAGCTGGTTGAAATCCCTAATGAAAATTGAGTACAACTTAAAAGCTGTTTAGAAATCAATCTACACCAAAATTATTATACCAGATGATTTCAATTACTGAACATCAATCAGTAATGTATGAATAGGTTACGTAACATACAAACACTTAGCACTTTGTTTTCTAAGCAAACATCCTACACAATATTAAATCCAGTTGTTATTATTATTGATGTTATTACTGCTTGTAATTAACAATAATAACAATAGCTTTATTATGCACAATAAATTTACATAATATACACAATTTTCAGTGTAGTTTATTACATAATATTTACTCTTCATCCAGGAGTTTTAAGTAAAACAACCACCTCCAGTACATCATGTGACACAGTGATGATAGATTTGAAGAATAAAATAATCCACTACGGTATTTTTTCTTAGGTCCCACAGAAATGCTCAGCGACAGGCTGCAAACTAATTAAAAATGTGCACGAGTACATCTGGAGACCCACGGATATAACTGAATGACGGATGGAAATTCAGATAGCCCAGAGATTCAAGAAGGCCGCCATTATTGACCACCAGTAAACAAACACTCAGTGAAAAAGGAATTTCATGTTAGACTGATCTAATAAACCATAAGTTTCTGTTTAAATTAAAACTTCAACGCATACACTAAACATATAATTTTAGAAATGATGGAAAAGACTTATAGCTCAAGTGTAGTTGTGTCTTTTTGATTTGAATGCTTTAACTTCAAAGCTTTAATTATCTTTTTAGTCTACGCCTCTCTATGTAGCACAAACCAGCAGTCAAATACTTCATAGTTTGATACTATGTTTCTATCTGATCACTCCTTTTGCAATATAATCATATGTTGTAAATAAAACAATAACGAACGAGGAAGGCAATGACTTGGTATATGTATTACCTATCCCAGCCATTTCAACTGATGCAGCTACATAATCTCATCAGGTGACTTGCCCTCCTTCCAACATAACACTCTACTACGCCTAAGACAAATATTACTAACCATTTACAATATAATCTAAAAGGTTGGTTAGAATGTAAACACCTACGTTGTAAACATTTATCCAAGCATAAGTTTATTAAACAGGTGCTCTTCATTCAGTAAGCGCACGTGATTACTATGTACATACACTTTAGTTGAAATCCTACACATCTGAATAATTAATGAATGTCACTGCATTGCTTTACTCTTATTTTACTTTTATCAGATTTATAACTACACAGATTTATCTTTCTTAAGACTGCGAACGCGCCACGTGTAACATACACCTTTGAAGAAAGATATAAAATTTATGTTATTTTCTTTTGATCACACTGAGAGTAAGTTATTCTACCCAAGACTCACATACACTTTCGAAATGGGAAAAAAAACTGAGTGATAATAGTTGTGTGATTCAGTTTAGGATATTACTAATACTGCTGCTATCTTCGCGCCATACTTAAGATCAGATGGTCAGGGAGAATAAGAAAAAAGGAACTCTAGCAACGAACTACGAACATACCACCGAACTAATATGAAGAAGAGAATGGAGAGATGGATTGGATATACACGCTGAGGAGACCGTTGAGTGATATCCTGCACCAGGAAAACCCCCGAGTCGAACTTGATTTGGGAATGAGAGAGTTGAGCGTCACTTCAAGAGTGAGCTGGAGTAGATCGCACGAGAAGAAGATGAAGGCTTACTGCACAGAACAGGATGAAATAGAGATGTGCTGCTGAAGCCCAATGTTCCGATAGGAACCCAAAGGAATAATAATAACAATAATGACTTCTGACTAGTCGAATGTACCATGTAGTAGTCCAAGTCACTGAATTCAGAAGTACATCACTACTGAGCAGAAATAATAACATGAATATTCTGAATATTTCTTAGCATTACTGTACTAATAATAATTAAGAGAAGAGTGGAATAAATTCAACTTTCAAGTTAGATCACAAAATGACATCAGTCAGAAAACTATTGAAAAGCAGGAAGTACTAGACAGCTGTTGCGTACTCGTTTGAGACTCTTCAGCATTACGTAGTCATGGCCCAACAGAGGGTCTTCAGGTTATCGATCCAATGTTTGAATGATTAACGTAGTCACTTCATAACCATAAGGTCTTGGGTTCGATCCCCGGTGTGCACATACTGTTTACGAATCCCAAACTAGTACGAAACGGCTTTCCGATAATCCCTGGGGTTCAATGGTTTTTTAAATGCTTTTAGTTCGTATCCTAACTTGAAATCTATGAAATTCTTGGAAACCGACACTTGAAAATTTCACTGTTTAGTCTTTTCATTTTACTAATTTTACTTAATAGGGTTGTGAGTGGAGAAGCGAATATATGAACTAGTGTAACGAAAAGTTACTTGGTTAGATAGTTTGATTTTGCAACAAGCTGTGATTTATATGCAAAATGACCAAGATGTCGCTTGTGCTACTGATAAGAACTTTTAAATAGTGTATTGTTTGGTATCTGAATACATCTTGAATGGTGGACTGAGTTGAAAACAAGTAAGAACTTGGAGACAATTGTGAATCAGTATAGAAAGT